AGCAGTAGGTTTAGAACAGATCAAAGGAAGTCCTTCTTCACCCAAAGAGTCATTAACATGTGGCATTCACTGCTGCAGGAAGTGGTGGCGGCTACAAGCACAGACAGCTTCAAGAGGGGATTAGAGAAACATCTGGAGCAGAGGTCCATCAGTGGCTGTTGGTCACAAGGCATAGAGGGAACACTATCTGGGGCAAGTGATGCTCTGTATTCTTGGTGCTTGGGGGGGGCAACAGTGGGAGGGCTTTTGGAGTTCTGGCCCCGCTGGTGGACCTCCTGATGGCACCTCGGCTTTGGGCCCCTGTGTGACACAGAGCGTTGGACTGGATGGGCCACTGGCCTGATCCAACATGGCTTCTCTTATATTCTTAAGCTCAGCGAGCTTCCATGGGAGAAGTAGGGATTTGAACCCAGGCTGCCCAGGGTCCTAGTCTGCCACTCTGTCCACTACACCACGCTGTGTGAGCCATAGGGGGCTGGACGGGCGGCCAGGATGAGGAAGCAGAGGTTGAAACCCGTAGCTTTCAGGAAACCCTGCCGCTGCCGCTGCCATTGGATTCAATACCACCTCCTCCCACACCATTAGAGAGAGAAATTAGCCTTTTGCTCGTGGAATGGGAACAGGCAAGACCCTACATGCCGTCCCTCCTCTGTGAATCCTTTGTGAACAGTCCTTCTATTTCCTGGCTTTCAGGCCTGTCGCGGAGCACATGCAGCGGCCGCAGCTGCCCCCCTCGCCACGGAGGCATCCCCGCGCATCAAGAAGTTTGCCATCTACCGGTGGAACCCAGACAGCCCTGGAGAGAAGCCCCGCATGCAGACCTACGAGGTGGACCTGAACAGGTGAGTCGACGTGAGTCTCCTCCTTCTAGGGGGTGGGCTTTGCGTGCCGGGAGAGGGGCTTGTTCCAGGGGACCGCCTGCTCCCAGGGGGCCCAATCCCAGGAGTCTGTGATTTTTCCCACTGCCAGAAAGAAGATGATCGGGCCTTGGCTTCTTTGTGGCTGTTCTCCGGCTCAAGGCTGAAGTTTCCTCACGCGCCTTGTGATGCACTCCCAGTCCCAGTAACCCAGGGAGGAGGGGAGATCTACAGACCCTGGGGCAGAGGCCTTTCTGGTTCTTTTTTTTAAAAAAAATAATATTTTATTGCATTTTCTCAAAAAGGAAAAAACATAAGATGGTACAATGTAGTATATAGTACAATAACCAAGATACACCAGTAATCTGTAAGTTAACCGGCGCATATAAATGCTAATGTAGAAATATACAACACGCAGTAAGTAAATTGCATTTGCCCCGTTTTCCTTTTCACCATTTTAAACCGTTGTCAGCTGAGCTGAGCTGTACCTAAATAACTTTCCAAATCACCACAAAAAGGGAGTCTCAGTTACAGCAGGAACATCAGCATGTTCTGCTAGGTGTTCCACAATGGGGAACCAAGGCGCTACAAAGTTAGATGAAGAGGATTGGGAGGTGAGAGATGGTACGTTGTCAATGATTTTGGCCATGAGATAAAGGTTTCACAACTTTTGGGTTCTGACGCCAACCCCTGGGAATCTCTTCCCCCACTGTGGCTTCAGATTGACAGTCTTTTAAGTGTCACACAAAGTCTCTCATGTGTTTGTGTTCACATGGAAATGCCTCATTTTTTAATTAGGTCTCCCCCTTTTTGATTTGATTATCTTTTCTGCTGTTTTTATTTGAACAATATACTCTGATTTTAGCACCTTAAATGGCTCAGGATCCTGTTTTTAAGTTCATGTTTGAGGAAGGGAGCTTTGAGAGCCTGTTTTGTGTAGTGGTTAAGTGCACAGACTCTAATCTGGGAGAACTGGATTTGATTCCCCACTCCTCCACTTGCAGCTGCTGGATGACCTTGGGCGAGCCATAGTTCTCTCAGAGCTGTTCTCTCAAGGACAGTTCTGGAAAGAGCTCTCTCAGCCCCGCCTACCTCACAGGGTGTCTGTTGTGGGGAGGGGAAGGGAAAGGAGTTGGTAAGCCGCTCTGAGACTGCAAGTGAAGGCGGGGTATAAATTCAGTCTCCTCCTCCTTCCTCAAAAGCTTTTAAAGTAACCCCCCCCCCCAACCCCTCACCCAACATGATGTTATGGTTGCCGTGTTGGTCTGAGGCAATAGAAAAAGTTCTGAGTTCAGTGGCACCTTGAAGACCAACAAAGTTTAATTCTGGGTATAAGTTTATGTGTTCCCAGAATTAAACTTTGCTGGTCTTCAAGGCGCCACTGGACTAAACCACCTCTCCTCCAAATTTTGCAGTTTTCGACTTGAATCTTGATCTTCTACTGCAGGCCAACATGACTACTCTCTGAAATTGTTTGAAACCAGTGTGGTCAGTTCAATGGGGAATACAGAATATAATTCAAGCAATGAAGCTGCCAGTTTATTTATTTATTTATTAGATTTATACCCCGCCCTCCCCAGCGGGCTCAGGGCGGCTACAACAGAGGCAATTGCCATAACAACAGTTAAAACAACATAAAAACAATCATTAAACGGTATAAAACAATCATTAAGTAAAGTGTGGTGCTCTTGATGTTAAAGTTTTTCTTAATCCAAGATGAGTTCCATTCATCAACCTAACCTGACAACATGCATTCTTTGGTTAACTAGGCGTCTGCCCAGGGCCGGCTCACCTCCAGATCTAATCCACCGTCGAAGATGGCAACTCGGTAGTGGTACAGTGACGGCGGCGGCTCCTATGCAAAGGCCTGGTGGAAGAGCTCCGTCTTGCAAGCCCTGCGGAATTGCGCCAGGTCCCGCAGGGCCAGAACCTGCTCTGGGAGCTCATTCCACCAGACAGGAGCCGCCACCGAAAAAGCCCTGGCCCTGGTTGCAGCCAGATTGATGTCCTTGGGGCCGGGAACCATCAATAGGTGCTGCGACCCCGACCGTAGCGCTCTTGGGGGAACATATGGAGAAAGGCGTTCCCTTACGTACGCTGGACCCTGGCCATCAAGGGCTTTATAGGGCTTTTTTTATCATGCCTTTCCTCTAAGGAGCTCGGGGGGGCCAATATAGCACTCCCATTCTCCGTTTTATCCTTAAGCAGAGCCACCCCTCGGGTACCCTGGGCTGGAGAAACTGCTTAAGCCCTTGCACTCTGCCGAGCTCCGTGCTGCCCCCAAAAAGCCATTGCTCCATGGCGTCTTCCAGCCAAGTGGTCAACTGGTGCCTCGGAATGTCAAGAAGCAATCGCACGCGTGCCCTGCCTTCCAGCAAATGAGGCGCGATCTTTGCAAGCTTGCCTACTAGCGACGGGCTTGTCGTTGCTGTTGTTTGTTTGTACAAGATTTATGTTGGTTTTGCCATCCTTTTAAGAAAATGGACAAAAAAACCAAAACCCCTGAGAGGATTCTCAAGAAGTATAGCAAACACTGATAGGTTGGGCATTTTCTCTTTTTCAGATGCGGGCCTATGGTTCTCGATGCCTTAATCAAAATAAAAAATGAGATGGACTCCACACTGACGTTCCGCCGGTCCTGCCGGGAAGGTGAGCTGGGTTTTTGCCCCCTCTGTTTCTGGGGAGCTGCAAGGCCAGGTGGGTTGGGGTGAGAGGGGGAGGCCGAAAGCGAGCCCAGTTTAAGGCCCTCTGGCACGTTTGGGACAGTTTCAAGGCTCGAACTGGGGATCCCAGCTGCTTCTCTTGGCTGCTACACTACACAGGTAGGTGAACCCGTTTGTGCTCTCCTCTCAAATTTAAGCGAGCTGGGCTACATTTCAAGCGGTGTCCCTGGAAAATTAATGTCTCTTTATTTTTTTTTTTTTGGGGGGGGGAAAGCTTTGACATGAGAGAAAGAGCCAATGTAGTAGTAAGCAGGGCTATTTTTGGGCAGGAACGCACAGGAACGGAGTTCCGGCTGGCTCCCAGGTTGGCCACACCCAGCAGGAACTCATTAGCATAATAGGCCACACCCAACAGCAGGAACTCATTAGGATTGGCTACATTAGGGGTGTGTGGCCTAACATGCAAAGGAGTCCCTGCAACAAAAAAAGCCCTGGGTTTTGACAACAAACAAGGTAAACAGAATAAGAAGCAAAAGGTGGGTGTGGCTGGATGACCAGACTTCTGGTAACATGGGGGTGCGGCCTAATATGCTAATGAGTGTTGCAGTCAGGGGGTGGCCTAATATGCTAATGAGTTTCTGCTGCTGGGTGTGGCCTATTATGCTAATGAGTTCCTGCTGGACTTTTTCTACAAAAAAAGCCCTGGTAGTAAGCATCGGGCTGGGCCCCAGGAGACCTGGGTTCCAGTCCCCACACAAGCCGTCGAAACTCATTGGATGGCCTTGGGCCATCTGCTCCTCCTTTCAGCCTGGCCTGCCTCACAGGACTGTTGTGGTGGTGAAATGGAAGCTGGGAAAACCTCTGCCACCCCTGAGCACCTTGGAGGAAGGGCAGAATATAAATGGAATACGATTAGACTTCCTTTGTCCGGTGTGAAGGCTATCAGAAGGAGAGGAAGTCTCTCCTGGGCACTGAGGGCCCTTTTGAATGCCGGTCGCCCAGACTCTGTTCCTAAAAGCCAGTCCACCTCTCCCTCCTGCAGGCATTTGCGGCTCCTGCGCCATGAATATCAACGGGGGGAACACCTTGGCCTGCACCAGGAGGATCGACACGAACCTCAGCAAGGTCTCCAAAATCTACCCTCTCCCCCACATGTACGTGGTGAAGGACCTCGTCCCGGTAAGTCTCTGGCTTTCGCCATCGTGGCTTCGGGAAAAGGTGATGGGGGAGGGACCCTGACCTGGGTGGCTCAGGCTGGCCCATTCCCATCGGATGTCGGAAGCTAAGCAGGGTCAGCCCCGGTTAGTCCTTGGATGGGAGACCGCCAAGGGAATCCAGGGTCACTGTGCAGAGGGCAGGCCATGGCAAACCGCCTCTGTTTGTTTCCCCCTCTGCTTGTTTCTTGCCTTGAAAACCCTGTGGAGTCACCCTAAGTCGAAGAAGAAGAAACAAAATGGTAGAAAAGAGCCAGAGTCCAGGAGCACCGTAGAGACTAAAAATATTGGCGGCAGGGGAGGAGCTTTCGTGAGTCACGGCTCACTCCTTCAGGTATCTGAGCAAGAGTTCCCAGTAGCACCTTAAAGACTACCAGAATTAGAAGGACTTTAAATACTATATGGAGAAATTTTGGGATGTTACAAACAATTTATTTTGCTTAGACAATTATTAAGACTGAGGATTATTTAGATTAAGTTTAAACGTATATAGTTCTATAGATAAAGAGATACGGTACCTGTAATAAATATATAATA